TGCATGCACGGAAAGAACATGCAGATTCTACCCAGTTTTTTGCCTTCTTTATGAAAGGCAACAGCTCTACCAACAGTCCTGTGTTTCATCACTGGTCTGTATGTAGGATCTTCTGCAGATGAAAGATTTTAAATCCGTAATTATTTAAGCACATGGACTCACAACTTGTGCATGTCTAATATTTGGATGTCCTGTTTAATGCCTACCTAATTTTTTTTAAAAATATAAATCTTTTTGACAAAACACAAAAGTTCACTTACTGCTTTGCATACATTTACCTTTCCAAATAAAAGTGGATTTATATAATTATCATTTAAAAGCATAAAAATGGAAATTATTTAAAAAAATTAACTAAAACAATATGAAAGGAAAGGAACCGCTCGAGGTCTGGACATCAAACAGCATTCCTGTCTCTGCTCCTCAACCTGCCTGTGATGGGAAACATCTCTTTTGCCATTATCTGAGCCGACTGAGTCTTCCCAGATACATACAGGTGTTAGATATTCAAAAAAAAAGAGCTTTGAAGTTTTTCACTGAAAAGTATTATGTCGATTTGTCCACGACAATCATGGCTGTTGCTTGACAGTATTTTAAAAACTTTGGACGTGAACAAATTGACAAAACAACACGCGACAAACATCACGGCTGCAGAGTTCTGAAATCGTCTGTGAACTGACTCCAAAATAATTTTGCAACTCTGGAGAATTATGAATTTGTACGTCAAACACAGATGTGCTGCGATTAGCAGAACTGTGGTTGATCGCAGCTGACAGGAAACACACAGCTAGCTGGGAATAATAGTCAACACGACACACCTTACGATGTTGATTTGTTGTTGAAATTATTTTATTTTCCTGTTTGTGCTCAGATAAGCGTTTGTGTGTTGGATCAAACGTTGTCTGAGGGCCGGTCGTGGTCTGATGCACAACCTAAAAGGATGATGTGGAAACTCGAATCCTCCCATTGCGCGTTCGCTGGAAAAGGACTCCTCAACATCTTGTATCATTTTGTTTGCGTATTTATTGGCTCTAAATTTCCTTTAAAGAATGTGTTAGTACTTTATACAATCTCGCTTTTCATCAAACCAACTTTCAAAGCCATGCTCTCTTTTTTTTGGGCAAAAGCATATTTAATGAAATATTTACATAAGTCTGTCTGCATCAGACAAACGCAGTGTAAGCAGTGAGATGAAAGCAGTAGCTAATGTAGGAAATGTGGCTGCAAAAACTCACAAGTGCATAATTCTCATGTTCTTTCTTTTAAAACTTTGTTTTCTTGTCAGGGATTAGGAATTACTGGAAACTGGGAGCTGCCCAGAACGTGCCAGGAATTAATAATGTGGAATCGATACACTGATGAGGCCTGATTTATTTATCAGACGTACTGAATCCGTTATGTCTTGACTCGGTTTATCTCTGTGGCACTGAGTGTTTGCGAGTCCCCGACTAGTTGGACTGCCCTCACAACTCAGCTGTGGTATTTTCATCAAGGATAATGCAACTGTTTAATATCCCTGGAGCGCAGACCCTGAGACAAAAAGCAGCAGTGGACATGGCAGCGATTCAGGGATTGAGACTTGGCAGCGAGATTTCATCTATTTGAATAAACTTTGATGTAAAATGGCTATTTTGTTCAACCGCACAGAGAAAAGGGAATGGAAAATAATAACTTAGAGCCTCGTAGTATGGTGATAAAACAGCATTTGCAAGAAATTAAGTTAGACAATTGGGTTTTATAGCAAAACTAATGAAGTAGTGAAGAAATTTATGAACAGTTATTATCTTACCTGTTGTAGAAAGCCCTTTGAACAACTCCAATCTGAAAGATTTCCTTGCTGCAAGATATTACTCTTGATTTTAATCCACTCTTTTCCCATTAAATACATTTTGTTGTGCACTTGGAGTCTCTAGGAGTGCAAAATACGTTCATATTTTATCAATCCGTTGAGTTTTCTTTATTACCTATTGCATTATTTGAACAATAACATCACAGTATTTGCTGCAGAACTGCTAAACAAGGTCATGGACTTCCGGCAAACCAATTTCACAAATCTGCCATTTTTATTTTTTGCAGCAATTTTATAGCCCACGTTTAAAAAAGCCAACACGACAAGTGGATGGACAAATCTTCCATTATTTATCTTTTAATCGATTTGTAAATAAAAGTTTTCTGTTCCACTTTTTAATTGGATCTTTGCTATAAAACTACGAAAATGGCAGAACAGGGTGGAGTGCAAAGGTCTGCGACCTGGAGGGGAGGCAGCATGTGAAGTGCCACGTTGTCATTTGAAGAGACAGCGCCAAAACGAGTTGCTCTCAGACGCACCTCAGTAAAGGGGTGAAAGTGGGACGTGTGGAGCTGCAATAAGAAGGAATTCAAACCAAAGCATTGCAGTTCCTCTTTCTTTGGACCCCATCTGATTGATTTGAATGTGAAAAGGGAGGATTTAAAAGCGCAATATTTCAGCTATAATTTGTTATTATAGAACTGAAGGATGTACAAACTGGTAAGTGTGGGACAAATGAAAAGCCTCCATGCTCGACATTCATCAAGAAAACTGATGACGTCTTCATTTTGGTTGACTCATAGTGAGCTGTAGTTTGAACCTGTGTGGCTGGTGATGCTGGAGTCTGCGTGTTAAAATCATTCCCCTTTGCTTGACAGGACTTTCCTTTCTCTGCCACAGTAAACGATATGAGCCATACAGAACCAAATTACATTTATGATTTACATAATTCTAACGCAGGCATGAAATCAAAGCCTTGCACTGAATCGTTTAGCATATTTATTTAGTTGGCAGCTTCTGGGGGCAGACAGAGCTGCCTGTGTGAACTCCCTTCATTTGTATTCATCTGGGCTCTGTGCTGACACTCGCTGCGAAGGGCAGAGCCAGCGACAGTCACTCACTCATTAGCAGCTCTTTGGTGCAGGCTGCAAAACCTGTGGGTGGCCTAGAACTTTTTTTCCCCTTTTTTTTCACAACTACATCTTCTTTCCGTACAGACTCTATGTCTCCAGAGACCCTGATTGTTTTGTTTCCAGCATCTGTGAAGATCGCAAAACACACCCCCACACAGACATATAGACATATATATATA